TAATAATAAAATAAATAATAAAATACAATATCAGAATAATAAACTAATAAAATAATAAACTGTTCTATAATACTACTAATCCAATTTAGATGATTTAACTACCAAAATGATCCTCTCGATGAGATGATTCTAATGAATTCAAAATCATCCAAATCTTATCACGTGATCCCGAGATCGTTAGAAGTTTGGGTTATATTTATTATATAGTAAATATAACATAAAACTCTAATGATCTTGGTATTACGTGATCAGATTTGGATAATTTTAAATTTATTAGAATTATTTTATCAAGAGAATCATTTTGGTAGTTAAATTATCTAAATCAGATCAGTAGATCAAAAGTTATTAATGTTTAAAGATTTTATTATATAATTTGTATATATAATAATAATTACATACTACATATATATATGTTGTGCCTCAGATCGATTCTTGCGTCGGATCTAATCTGACGCACGTCGGATCTAATCTGACACACGTCAGATGCCGATTTCCAGGTGATGCACGTCACCTGCCAATTGGTCATCTGACGTGCATGAGTTGTAATCTGATGCAAGATCATCAAAATTAAAAAAAAAAGTTTCTTTTAACGAAAATGTAATAACGTAATTATGTAATAACGTCATTATGTAATAACGTAATTATGAGCAAGGGTATAAAAAAAAACCTTTGCTACTTCTGTCTTCTCTTTCTTGGCGTTTGGTTTGAATATTCTTTATGAACGTTGGCTTTATATCTTCCGTTGGCTTTTGCATTCGACGTTGCTTCGTTGGCTTTCGCATTCGACATTGGTGGTGCCTATAATTTCTCCACATTCAGCATTGACTAAATATTTGGTGTCACTTGTTCTTGAATATAAACGTGTCTTCATTTTGTAGTACTTTGCCGCGACATAATTTTTCCTCAAAATAACTGATCTTGTTCTTACCTCCATTAAGCACTGGCATTATTTCTTTGGCACTGCTTTATAACTGGTTTTGTTCTTGTCTCTTTTTAAGGGTTGTGTTTTTTTTTTTTGGCGTGCCTAATTACTCTGTTCTTGTTCTTACCTCCCTTAGCATTGGCTTTATTCTTTGGCGCTGCTTTATAATTGGTTTTGTTCTTGTCTCTTAAGCATTTGCTTTTTTCTTTGGCGCGCCTAATCTTGTTCTTACTTCCCTTAGCATTGGCTTATTTTTAGCGCAGTTTTATAATTTGGTTTGTTCTTGCCTCTTAAGCATTTGCTTTTTTCTGATCTTGTTCTTCCCTCCCTTAAGCATTGGCTTTATTCTTTGGCACTGCCTTATTTGGTTTTGTCCTTGCCACTTTAAGCGGTTGCTTTTTTTTTGGCGCGCCTAATTTTACTTCTAACTTTGATTTTGTTCTTACCTTCCTTAAGTGTTGGTTTGTTCTTTTGTGCTGTTTTATAACTCTGGTCCTGTTTTTTTCTTCCTTAAAGGTTGGTATTATTTTTTGGCACTGCTTATAACTTTGAAAATGGAGTATACATTCATAAGTAGAAATACTCTTGACCAAATCGTGAAAAAATATATAGATAATCTTCCAAAAGCCAAACAAAAAAAAGCATTAATAAACCATGAGTTATTAAATAAAATAAAGACGATTCTGTTAAATCCACAGGATAAGTCACTCTACGATAAAAACTTACGGTCTTGGGTTAAAAGCAAATTCATGCTTGAAGAAATTTTACCGGGGGACTATAGAGTAATTGTTAAGGCCACGAACAATCCTGTATTAATAGTTGAAAGATTTTATGATGTTTTATGTCAAATCCATGGTGAAGTAACTCAGCA